TGTGTGTGTGTGTGTGTGTGTGTGTGTGTGTGTGTGTGTGTGTGTGTGTGTGTGTGTGTGTGTGTGTGTGTGTGTGTGTGTGTGTGTGTGTTGGACATAAGAGTTATGACCTGAGACATTATTCACTTCTGGAATAATCCCAGGTATTGAAGGAGCTCACCCTATTTTTTGTCTTTATCTGCTGTGTGATTTTTAAATAAATGTCTTATAGATGAAATACACTAGCATTGGCTGTATTGTGGCGTATTTCTGTTTTTGTTAAGACGAAGCTGGACGCCAGGCAAGTCCACTCTTAATACCCTGGCAAAATCTGGTTGTTGGCATGGCTAACCACCGGTGGTAAAATGCAGATACATTGCTATGTAGCAATTTGGAACATAAAATGCGGAAAGGTCAGGCTCACAATGGAAACCGAGTAATTCATTCTCTGTGATATGAGGCAAGAACTTTGAAGAACCACCACCATCATATGGCTTAATTCAAAAGGCCACATTTCAGGTTGCAAATGTGGCTAGCTATCTGGACTGAAGACACATACGATGGTTACTGCTGCTGTTGTTGCCTGTGCAGATCTCCTGTTTCTAGCAAAGGAGCTGAATAGATTTCCTCTGGCTGTGGTGCTGACAGGCCGGCCTCGCTGTTCCTGGCAGCGGCTAGTGGCCGGCCAGCTAAAAGGCTCCAGAGACATCTCCCTGTCCTTCAGCGCTATCCTTTTACAAAGCCTCAGTAGCTTAAAATCCATACTTCCCCTCTCTGATGACGACCTGAAAATGAACACAGGAAAAAAAGATCCTCGTTTTCATGTGTCTTGTATGCCGGCTGTCAGTGCTGTGTTGAGATCAAAGATGGCTGTTGGATATAAAGGTATCCGTTCTCTCAGTGTTTAGGTATCGCTTGCTGCACCTGCTCCCTTTGAAGATCTCTTTTCAATGATTAAAAGAATGGATATGACGTTTTGTTGGTGCTTTGCATTTCAGTATTCCATTTCATATTCTTTTTCATAATGCAGTTTTCTTCTGGGCAGTTCTTTCTTTCTGCCTTTTTATACTACGATAGGTTGAACCTCTTTGTTGTTCTGTGTGCACCAGACATTCTATCTCTTAGGCTGTCAGTTCATCAACATGTACCGTAATTCTTTGTTATATTTATACCAAAGCGGCCCTTTCATCTAATTTTGACAGGTTTCGCTATTACTTGCCTTCATGTCATGTACGCATGCTTCAGCAAGCACATGAATGATGTCTAGAGAAGTGATCTTCACATATCACTGCCAGCCTGCCCTATTGTTTGCCTCTCTATCATACGATGCAAAACAACCTCAAGACAAGAATAGCTCACGGATCAATAAGATGTATGGATAATCATGGTCCAGATGCTGGGAAATGCTGTAGTTGTGGAGCCAATTGATTCGTAAAACGTCTGTTCATACAACACCTAATTCTTTCCACCATGATGGAGGGCGATCTGAACCCTTTCCTGCACAAATGAGCTTTTAGTTATTTTGATGCCGTCTACTGGTAAAGAATGCTTTTCACACCGGATGTATTTTGTTACAAGCTGTAAACGTGGTGTCTTGTGTGTTTTAGGCCCTGCTGCCCACCAGGCGTTGGTTCAACACCGTGTTGGATGACTCTCACTTGGTGGTCAGCTGCCACCTCTCCAGTCTCGTCCACAGAGAGAAGGAAGGACACCTCTTCTGCCAGGTACAACACAATAGCAGACACACTTGAAATGATTGTATGCTGAAATCAAACCACCTCTGCTCTGTTTGTTCACATGTAGAAGTAACTCGTATTGTTGTCTCCTCTCTGTAGTTGCTGGACATGCTGAAGTTCTACACAGGTTTTGAGATCAGTGACCAGACAGGAACTGCCCTGACGGAGAAAGAGATGACCACTCTGCACTATGACAAAATCCTCTCTTTGCAGGTAAACACTATACATGGATAAGGACCGACATGCAGTGGCATCAATCAGCTGCCTGCTTCGTTTCTGTTGTTTTAAACACAAAGTATTCAGGGTGTTCTTCATATAGTTCTTCTTTATGATGGAATATTTGGCTTCAATATAAAATGATACAGGCAGTGACCAAATTAAATGTTTATACTTGTGATAAATGATATGTGTCTTAAGTCGGTATTGTATATCTATGTATTGCCACACCCGAGACTGTTGCCATGTTTCCTAATACTTTTTGAGAGGCGTTATCTTGGTTAAGGCAATGCAGTAATATGTTTTAATTGTGGTCTGTTTTTGGAAATCAGCCTAAGTGTTTTGCTTTGTGTTTTGTGTCTTGCAGAGAGCAGCATTTGCTCATTTCCCTGAGTTGCAGGACTTTGCTCTGTCCAACGTGGCAGCAGTAGACACTCGTGAATCCTTGACCAAACACTTTGGGCATCTCAGGTAAAGCAGAACACCTTGAATCCATCAGTACAAAAACCAGATGTGGCGTTAAACCTAAAAGGCGTTAGCATGTGTTTTTTTTATTTGATCTAAACGGACTATATGACGTGTAAACATACTGCATATAAAACCTTGTGTTGGTTCACCCTTTCTGCTTTTCACCATTCTGCTTCATATACAAGTACTTCATGTACGAGTGTACTTTATTTCTTTAAAAGTGTCATCGTAAAGCACTGTCAGTGGCCAAGAGTTCCATGCTTTGAAACCCTCCAGCAGATGATCTGACCTTTTTTATTTGAGGTTCTTTGGAGATCCAGAAATTACAAACCCCAGTCAGAGTAGAAGCGCCCCTGCAGACGTCCTATCTGGGCACTAAGTAGCAGTACAGCATCAGCACCGTTGCTGCCTGACTTCCCTGCTAAATGGCAGCTAGTGAGCCCTTAAACAGGCAGCTGGTACCAGCCAGAGAGAGAGGCACGCCTCATTAATTTAATCGATTTGCAGTGGCTTGAGAATAAACTGTCTGAACAGCTGTGTTTGTCAGATCCTATTAGCTTGCCAAAGAGCTAAAAAGCACCCTCGCTTTGAACTAGCCTGTGTGTGGGATATTTAACCTGTGTACATGCGTGAAGGGGAGTAAAAAGACATTGATTTAATTCTAACTTATAATTACTTTAGGGTTTCTAATCGTTCTTGTCATTTTGATGTTATAATGAACATTGACCAAAGCTTTTAGAAGGTCTTTAAACCACCAATGTTTTAGCTCTACAACAAACTTAAACGAGTAGTTGAATACTTGTTTGTTTAGTATGTTTTGTCATGATTTCTCTGACAACATACATTGCCTCTTCGCATTTGATGTTTGCATATCCATCACCTCTTTTTAACTTCTTTAGTGGATTATAAATTCTTAAACCCCAAAACTTAGTTTCTTTGAGTCAGGCAGAGGGTTATGAGCCGCGCTGAGCTGAATCAGGTAAAGATTTGAGCTATACCATCTCATGCATTTCAAGAGGCTCTGCTCCTTCTCCCAGAATTAGGGTTTTGAATATAGCAGGAACTGCATTGTTCCCTGCTCCACAACTGTCACCAAAGCAGCTCCTGGGTAACTCCAAATATGCCGATCAGATTTAACGAGGCACTTTTCATCCAAACAACTCATGCTAATGCCAGTTTATTCCAGCTGCTCTACCCACGGGCTAAGCTCCCAGTCACCCGCCGCTCTGAATTTATCCGCTAAGTCCCCCAAACACACAAACGCAGCATTATTGCTTAGTCTGCCCACACATATACACACCCATTCTCTATCTCTCACACACACACACACACACACACACACACACACACACACACACACACACACACACACACACACACACACACACACACTTTCAGTTACATAAAACATGTTAGTATGTGTGAGCGTCATTTCAGGCCAAAAGTGAATTGACTACATGATCAAAGAGTATGCAGCACTTTGTGAAATGCTGGCAAAATTGAAGAAAGTCATCAAAAGCAAAAAGAAAGGATGTAATTGGGTCTGTGGATTAGCTCTTCAGCGTGGTACTGTCATTGGAAAGGGCGTTTGGATTTGATCGATTACGCTTCTCATTTAATCCTGGTTCCTTTTCTGACGGCTTTATGTAAATAGGTAAAGAAAAGAAAACATTGGGAAAGCATAAATGTCCTCAATACTTAGCAGATTTAAGCTGCCGGGAAACACATTTTTGTCATGGGCTCTTTTTTTCATGTTGTGTGTAGCTAGCTGAATAAAACTGCCCCTATTGGACTAAGAATTACATTCAATTGACAAAAATACACTTTAGCTAAACAAAATGGCTTTTAAATAGCTGATCCAAAGTCTGAACAAGAAGCCTTTAGGTTGTCTAGTAAACTTACTGTAGACCAGTTTCTGTCATGTCCCCATCCTTACCTTACCCTGCCCCTAGCTCAGCTGTCAGTCATGACCTGGACCAGTCATTTCCATTACTCAGAGCGAGCTCTTGTGCTGCTGTTATTTTGCTGCTAAGGCAAGGAATGTCCACATGACCTATGCCAGGTCATCCACTGAGCCACCAAATTGCTACATTGGCAGAATTGCCGCCCAACTGCCCCAGCGCGGCATCACAAGTAGCAGAATTGATGCACATTCACGGATTCAGCCGTTCAGGGCCACGTGTGGCTGTCCAGGGCTGTCACAATGTGTCCAGGCCCTGTCCTTCGTTGTGTACCAGACCCTGCCTGTGTCACAGTGTGTCAGCCTGATTAAAACAGGTCTGTATGCAGAGAGCCATGCCTCAGCTTTCTGAGAAGGAGATGGGCTTTGATTTTCATAATCCTGTCGCATCAGTGCTCCCCGGCCCCTTAACACACACATGCTGACAGAGCAGGAGTGATCGTCAAAGCAAACACAGGAATTGCTTTGTGCCGCAGTGCTAACAATCACAAAGAATTTGATAAGCCGGTGTATCTTCACACATAAAGTGGTGTTGCTGTAGCCATTTGAAATGTCTTTCTGAGAAGGGGATGTAGTTTTCTAAGAGAGAGGCTGAACATGCAGTTTTTTCTTTTTGGAAAATGCAATGATACCACAACCAAATGTTGTTTTAGACATCAGATGATCTCTTTCTCATGATTAATCTTCCCCATTGTCTTTGGAAACCAATTAATGACATCTGCTTGTTATCATCCTTTATCTTCAATAGTTTTTCAGCTGACAAACCTCTTGTTTCTCTTCTCCGTAGTCCCAATACGCTCCACCAGGTGGCCTCGTATTTGTGTCTGCTGCCAGAGCTGCCTGAAGGACAAGACACCACCTATGAGAAGGAGGTTCTCCTTGAGCTTCTGGTAAGTGCAGTCATGACTTTAGTTTAGTGTCTGTTATACAATGCAAGTCTTAGGCTTAATAGTGGAAGGGTTTCCCTTGACTGTGACCGTCCAGATTGATGCCTTTAACTCTAAAACAGACCAAAAAAATGTGGACAAGCATGCACCTTCATCCCCTAAAGAGACGGAGGTTGACCCGTCATTGTCTCACAAAATCCTGTTTGCATTGGGATTTTATAGATTGTAGAGATAAAAACAAATATGACCTGGGTGGAAATGCAGAAAGGTACCAGTGACATATAGCGTGTACATTTGGGAAACCTTATGGCAAACCAAAGTTGCAAAATGATTATCCACAATCATTTTTAACTGAAAATATGCTACTTTTCTGTACATCAAATATATATATTTTTTATCCTAGACCATATTTATTACCCAAGACATTTATTTATTATATAGAAATGCTGTAATTATAAGGGAATGAAGCAATACTTCAGGCACTGTGTGTTTGTCAACCGGCCTTACAAAGACTGCATAATTGGTATTGGTGCACCTCTACTAAGATGCTGGTGAACAGTTATTTTTCAGAACAATAACCGGCCGGTCAGCGCTGCGGCATAATAGGTTTTGTGTTTCTCATATTAAAGTCATTCAGCCCTTGACCTTGGAATACGTACAGTATCCCCTCTTCACTGCCCGTCCCTCTTGAATTTGCCTTCTAATCCAATTATTCCCTTATTTGGGCATTTGTGTGTCGTAGGGTAAATTGGAGGAAGTGCTGATAACATAGAAATACATTTTTATTCTTACTTTTTTTTATATATATAAAAAAAAACTATAGCTAGTTTGATTGTCCTCTCTCGTTCCACTTCCCCTTGTTTCCCAGTTTGATTCTTTTTTTTTTTTAAACGGGAAACTACTGAAGTGTCCCAGCAGACACTCACACATTCGCTGAAGACCTCTTCATCTAAGTGGGTGTTTCAAGGCTGTCCTGCAGTTATTCATAATTACCCACTCAGACCCTCCCCAGGTCCTTTTCAGAGAAGCAATGGAGAAAAGCAATTTCATAATTATCTGATTAGATTGTTGCAGGAGACAATGTCAGGGGACTCATTTTTGTGCGCCTGAGGTTGCCCCCAACAACCAACATCTCTGAACGAGTGGGTTTAAGCGGAAGGGCCCACAGGGCTAGAACTCTGCCAACAAGGTAGCAAAAGAATTGTGCTTGCTCCAGGGGAAATAGCCATAAATCTGCTTAGGGAGAAGGGCACATTGTTTTTGAGAAACACTCCTGCTGTTACACCCCAGCCTGTGTTAAGGCTTTCATTTCCTCTGGAGGAACCGATGAGCCAATATGTATTCTGATGTCAATAGTCCTCCCCTTGACATATTAGATATAATGTATGTGTGCAGAAGTGAATGCATTAAAATAGAGATTCCGCACACAAGACATGTTATAAAAAGGTTTCATGTAAACTAGAGATTTACCGTGGGTATGATGTAACATATTTTGAAGTGACCTGGTTTTGTTTTTTTCTTTATTCCATGTTATGTGTTCTAGTAAGGGAGAAGATAAACATCAGGGACAATGAAACGTGTGTAATTCATCTAATTTCTCTCCGTCTCTCTTGCTGTCTGCCACACACAGGTGTCCCGTCATGAGCGCAGAATCTCTCAGATCGAGCAACTTAACCAGATGCCCCTTTATCCAACAGAAAAAATAATCTGGGATGAGAACATTGTCCCGACAGAGTACTACTCAGGCGAAGGTGTGTGTTGCATCTGTGAAATGTGATTTGGTTTGCATTACTGTGCCTGTTTTAGTCTAGGAACACTAGAGCACACATTCAAAAATCAGTTTGTTTGCACCCACACCTTGTTATCTCTTATCCCGAGGGCACTTATCTGGCACTTATCTGGCACTGAACTGGCATCTCTCTCGGGGAATCCTCTTTAGTTGTCAAGGTCACCTTTAACAACTCTCGGAGCACAAGCAAAAGCCCTTAAGCTTATTACGTTGACTGTAACGTATAGACATTTAGCCTCTGTAGAAGCAACAATTCAAACTGTTGACATTACAGATGTTGCTTCATAAAATGTTGCTCATTTTGTAATTGAATACAAACACAAATGATGAACTGATTATTGTAAGTGTGTGTTATCACTCAATGTGAATAATGTTAACTCTGTCTCTTTCTATTTCTCTCTTTGTCTTTTCAGGCTGTCTAGCGCTACCTAAGCTGAATCTCCAGTTCCTGACCCTCCATGACTACCTGTTGAGAAACTTTAACCTGTTTCGTCTAGAGTCCACCTATGAGATCAGACAGGACATAGAGGATGTGGTTTGGCGTATGAAACCATGGTGAGGGCTTTCTACAGAAACCTATCTTTCTTGTATGCTCATATTGTCAATATGTAGGGTGAAACGCTAGGAATAAAACACTATAGAGGAAGTGGTTAAAAGTTCATGTGCAATAAAATGAGTTTGAATAAGTGTAAATCTTATCATCATATACGAGTTATATGTGTACAATAGGATTGCCGCACACTGATAAACATCTTTGGTTTCTCTTTCTAAGTAGAACAAATCTCTACAGCACTCTTTATAACATCTTTTTAACATCAATGAATAAAGGTCCTTATCCTGTGTCCCCCTTTCATTTGATTAAGTGGCATTGTGGATTGATAATGTTTTATTAAAAGACTGTGGTATTTTGTAAACCACATTTAAAAACTGCATGCTTAACATAATACGTGCTCCCATTATGTCAACTTGTTTGTTGTTCCTGCAAAAGTAAATAAGTAAGCAGTAGTGCCATGTGCTGCCCTAAATCCAACTGATTTCAATCTTGACAACAGCCCACAGCGCTTGTCTCACTTCTTGTCGTGTCTGTCCCTTTACGCAGGCAGTCGGAGTACGGCGGAGTGGTGTTTGGGGGCTGGGCCAGGATGGCTCAGACCATCACCTCCTTCTCCATAGTGGAGGTTGCCAAGCCAAACATTGGAGAGAGCTGGCCGGCCCGTGTGCGAGGGGACGTCACTGTAAATCTGAATGTACAAGATCATATCAAGCACGAGTGGGAAGGTAAAATGTTTTGTCGATACTTTTACTGTATTTGAACCAGTTTTTATGAAGGTCTGTCCACCATTTATATTGCTATCCTGCATTCTCAATCTATTTATAGTTACTCTAATGGGAAGGGAGAATTAACAACAACATATTGATTACAAAACACATCCTCACACACTTCATGCTTATTAAATCTGATTACCCTCCATTTCATTTAGACCTGCTACACATTGTCTTCCCTCTATATTCCCTTATTGTGTCTTGTAGCAGTCCTAGTAAGCCGTTTATAACCACCATAAAGTCTTCCCTCATCCCACTGGGCCTTGACTCATGACCCTCACCTGCCTCATGTCTCTGTGAAGACATGCTATTTCTGGGTAGCCTCTACAACTGAGCCGCTTTGTTTTATTTGCTGATCATTTTCCTCTCTGTTTCTCAATGTGGCTGATAAGGGCACTGTAGATAATGTTTACAGTAGCTTGTCAGCCTTGAAAGACATTGATTCACTGGGATGCACATAGATGTCAAGGAAGCCTGTCGGCAAGCTGACTGCCATAGCTGTCTGGAGAAAGATATAGGATATATTCATACACTAATGTATGCCAATGGGGTATTGCAAAAAGGAAATGGGCTCTTTCAGTGGGCAAATGCTGTAGAAGTAATGAAGTGATAACTGGCTAAAAAAAAGTAAGCCTAATGTATCCCAAATTCTTAATTTCCTTCAAACCCAATTGTATGGTTTCACTTTTTTTTGGTGTAATTTCAGTGAAGGAATGGTGTATTTCCTTATAACCAATAGCTCTTACCCCATCATATAATTAGAGCATCATGTTTTATAGATCAGGCTAATGCTGAAAGGGCGGTTTCTCTTGCACCTCCACTCCCTGTCACTTCTCTTTCTCCCTGTGTCCCCTCTGCCCCCTCTCTGTCTAAAACCCTTCTTTTCCTTTGTTCTTTCTCTCTGACCCCTCTGTTCATCCCTTTTCCCCGTAGGGCTGCGGAAGCATGACGTTTGCTTTCTGATCACGGTGCGCCCTAACCTACCCTACGGCACGCGCTTCGACCGGCGCCAGCCCTTTGTGGAGCAGACGGGCCTGGTGTACGTGAGAGGCTGCGAGGTGCAGGGCATGCTGGATGACAAGGGTCGCGTCATTGAAGAAGGTATGATCCTGTGTGCTCCTGCCCACACGCACACACACACAGACACACACAGCACACAGACACACACACACACACCAGTGACACATGACATCCACCCACCCGTCAGACCTTCTGTCTCCCCAACGACAGATCCTGAGAGAGGGTCATTGTTGTCATGGTGACAGTCACATTGAGACCTGACCTGTTCACATTAACATTCCATTAACCTGAGGTCGACAGCAACACCTGAGAGATTTGGACCCTGCCCTCTGCTTCCTTTATTGGATTTAAGGGAAGTGTTGCATTGGCTATACAGGGATTCACTCTATGCTGAAAGAGAACACTGATTGTGCTCTTTCTACAAAGTTTAGCCAGTTCTATTTCTAAGCTGTCCTATTTTGCTAAAATAGAAACATTCTGTTTTTTTTATCCACGTGTAAGGAATCCTTACATATCAAATTTAAACTCATGGTCTTTCCTGGAAATTAAAATATGTTTATACAGCATCACAACCTCCTCTGTTTCACCGTCATGTTCTTAACCACAGCCCAAAGCATTCCCTCTGAGTCGTCGGTTCACCTAAGTTAGTTCGCAGCCCTGCTATTCTAAGCCTTTGCTTTTGTCCCCGTCAGAACATGTGTCCGTGCACTGAAGCTCCCTTTCCCCTATCCTCTCATTTGTTTGGATTAAATATGCAGAGGGCAGGGCTTTCTAACTAGACATGCAGCCTGCAGGGAACATGCCCTGAGATTGTTGGCTTGGTTAAACTTTCAGATCCCCAACGGGGCTAAGTGGTACCCAAGGTAACTGGGTGGATGGGTTGGACATAAATCATAGGGCACTTGAAGGTGAGATGCAAAACAATAGGGATTAAATACAGAATATTTGTAGGAAATATCAAAACAGTTAAATCTAAATGTGTATTGATTTAATCACGTACTTGTTTTAACACACCTTGGCCCAGCTGTGCACATTGTTATTCCATGCCATTGAGGGTGTAGCTTCCACCCGTAAGCTTTCATACTCCTTTTAGTAAGGGGGATTTGATCATCCACCATAGCTGTACACGTGTGCACACAGACAGACATACACATAGATGGTCTCACACACACATTAGATACCGAAGGGATTGAGTTTCACTTTCCTGCTCTGTGCCCTGCAGCGCCATACATGAATCTATTTAGACATCTGTGAAAGCTGCACTTGCTGCAGCACACAGGCTCCCTATGGGGGAAGCCTTAAGCCCGTGGCCTGTCAGTCAAGCATCTATGTAATTCCTGTTCATGGGGACTCGCAGAACTGTAGCAAGGCAAGCCAGGGTGAACTCTCCTCTAAGTGTTTTGTTTAGAATGTAAGGATGGATATTGTTAAGAAAATGGTGTTAGGATTATCTCATTTGTATTCAGTTTTCGTGTTGACATTTAGCACTTAGCCATTGTCTCTTGGTTTCCATTATATTGTTAATGTAACACCGTTCGAAAAGTATTGTTTATCACTTAAGGTTGTCATTACTACATTGGTATAACACTTATTCCCCCCCAAATCCTCTGCTCTAGGACCCGACCCGAAGCCTAAGCTGCGAGGAGACGCCAGAACCTTCCGTGTATGGCTGGACCCAAACCAGTATCAACAGGATATGACCAGCAGCATTCAGAGTGGCACAGAAGACCCTTACGAGTCTTTCAACGTCATCATGAGACGCAAACCCAAGGAGAACAATTTCAAGGTCCAGACTTTACGCTAAAGCACACACTATGTTGTATTGAGTAGTTCATCTACAGAGCTTGAGCTCTGGTCCTGCCAACACCACCCTAGAGCAGAGTCCTGCACCGGTCTGATTTTCAAGACCCGCTCCCGCCCCGCACCCGCAACGTGCAATACCGAACCCGCCCCGCTACCCGCACATATTGCCAATTAGTTCCGCAACCCGACCCGACCCGTCGGCACAAGATCCGCAACCCGACCCGAACCCGCATATATATAGGCCTATATACTGTATATATGAGCAGTGAAAGAATTTACAGAATTCACATGAGCACGATTAAAGGGAAATGGAGCTCCCGAGAGAGCGCTGCGCTGCCTTAAATACAAGCTGTAGGACTTTGAGGAGCTGTCCACTGTGTCCAGTAACACTTACTGAAAATAAACTATTCATTTGTTGCGTTTCCCATAAATGTTCAGCTGGACGATGAATTCGAGCTGCTTATGATGCTGAGAATCGTGCAATTATTAACACACGCAGTTGCATATTTGGCTCAAAAAGCGTGGGATGTTGGTTATTTTCTCCATCTAGGATGACACCAAAAGCCTCCCAGACGTTGGATTTCGCTCTTGAGGAAGAGTTATTGAAAATGCTGTATTCTCCGCTAGAGAGCTTCACCTCAGCCATTCAGAATGTGGCGCGCTCAGCAGCAGATAGATGCGCTGCAGAGGTTATGATTATGCTCGGTCCCGCGGGGGAGAGGTCTGAGGATTTAAACATTAAACTAAATTATTTTTATTTAAATATATTTATTATGCAACACCCGCAACCCGACCCGCATCATCTTTGTTTTACCCAGAACCGAACCCGGAAAAAAGCGTCTGAAAAAATACCACCCGCAAATCACCTTTTTTGCGGGTCACCCGTCGGGTACCCGCGGATACCCGACCCGATACAGGACTCTGCCCTAGAGTGATGTTTTGCACATATTACACTCTCTTGGGTGTTGTAGCTGTAAGGTTGGGGCCAGGGCAGCCCTGAGATTACCACCCGCTCAAGCCCCCCCTCCCTCCCTGATCCCAATGAGAGACACTTCTCACTGGATATTCATGTGTTGTGTACCCCAACCTCGCCCTAACCTTTAAGAATTCTCCTGTGGCAGCATGGCAGCAAGCCATCAGTGTATACTAATAAACCATAGTTTATTGTCAGTATAACATACAGGTGCCAACAGCAGAGAGGTTAATATATGTAGATGTTATTGCAGTTAAAAAGCAGGTCATACTAAAGTTATCCATGTAAGTGTGTGAAACTTTTGTTAGATATACCATCTGTCTTTTGCTTCATTTTGTTCTACTTATTTTTGTTTAGATGTTAATCGTTGCAAAAAACTCTTTGCTGTTTATCACTTTTTTTTTGTTGAGAGCCTCGTATTACTGCTTTGTCAAAACTGCTATTTCTAATTCAGCGCACGCATTACCGTCTTTCACAGACGGGAAAATGACAGCTTATTTTGAAGTGTTTATTTTTTTTTAATGAATTTCAAATGAGCAGGAACTAATGGGTATTCAGGAAACATTCTTCTCCATCTTTGATGTGTGACATAGATAGAAGTAAACGCGTTCCCCTACCCGGTGTTTGATGTTCAGGGTATTAGACAGTTTGCAGTTCATTAAAATATAATTGACAGACATACAAATTACCTGCTGTCCCATCAGCCCACCACAAAGCTATTCTTATCCAGCTAAAACAGCTCTTGTGGGAAGGTTGTGTATTGTCTGACGAGGCCCACATTTCTCTGTCTCTTGGTTTTAGGCAGTGCTGGAGACCATCAGAAACCTGATGAACACCGAGTGTGTGGTCCCAGACTGGCTTCACGACATCATCCTTGGCTATGGCGACCCAGGCAGCGCCCACTACTCCAAAATGCCTAATCAGATCTCCACGTTGGACTTCAATGACACCTTTCTGTCCCTGGACCATTTACGATCGTGTTTCCCTGATTACACCATCAAGGTCACCGAGGACGACCCCGAGCTGCAAGTCTTCCCGTTCAGGTGAAAGTCAAACGTCCAATAATCACATCATAAATATAAGTGTTATTGCTGTTGAATGACCTTCTTCAAAATAAATGTATAGGCTAATTACCATGCTTAGATACGGTTAATAATATATATTGCATTATAGCATATTATATTTGACTCACCTTCTTCCTTTTGCTTTACCAGAATCAAGTTCCCAATCTCCAAAAAAGCAGAAAAAGGGAAGAAAAGAAAGACTGATGAACCAGAGGAAGACCAAAGTGAAGACAAGACCTTGATCGTTGAGCCCTTTGTCACCCCCAACCGCGGGCCATATCCCTACAACCAGCCCAAAAGGTGAGAGGTCACTGCGCAGATTCAGTTTAGTCCTTAACCTTTTTTACCTAAAATATACTATACTATTTTGAGTATAAAGAAATGGTATTAAGTACTAGACAACACTCATTTGATTTGTTTGTCTCCATGGTGTTTCGCAATTAAAGCTGCACAGCAAATATTTGTTTGCTAACTATAACACCAAATAATAGCAAATTAAAGATTCATCTTGTCGTGTTTGAGCATTTCCGAATTACACTTTGATATTTCAATCTTGATATAAACAACACGTCCATGAGGAAGACCTGATTTAACAATCTTTAAAGATGCAATACAAATAATATTTGGAGCATCTCTTTAAAAATAGTGAAAGAATGCTGTCAAGGATATTCAGTATTTCCAACTAATTACAAGATGTATTAAAATAAGCAATGTTCATGTTTTACAGGAACACAATTCAGTTCACTCCTACTCAGATTGAAGCCATTCGGGCCGGGATGCAGCCAGGCCTCACCATGGTAAGCATTCAAGACAGAGTGTACACACATAAAAACAATAATCATGAATATCTGGTTTTCATGAATGTGTAGTCACCCTCTCTATTTATGTTTGGAAGATGATTGGATAGCAGTACAGATAGGATTAAACTTTAGTGCTTTGTCTCAACTGTATTCTTTAGGTAACAGAATCAAATGAGTTTATAGTTGTGGACTAAGAAGCCATGTGTTTAACCCATCCTCTATCCAGGGGTGCAGATTCCACCTCACTGGTATAAATATTTGTAACTATTAATCTTTGAGATATTAGCACCAAAGCAAATTCCTTCACCAGTAAATATGCTGTTGTAAGATATCTCTATTTCCATCACTCTTGTAACATGATGACACATTCCCCTAAAACCGTCTGTAATTTTGGCACTGCTGATAACATAGTCAGCCGCACCTAAAATGACACGTATGACAGCTATGGAGTCTATACACACACATCCACAGCTCTGTCATTCCAGCCTGCTATTGTTAGCTGAAGAAACACACACTGTTCTGACGAAAGTGATTTTGGTGTGCTTGATTGATGCGGTAGTTGGAAGAGTTATTTATTATGCAGCCAGCAGAGGAAAGTAGGCTATCATCAGAGTCGTAAAACAACTCTACATGCATGCCTTTCTCCGCTCCTCTTTCTCTCTCACCCCCTCTAACCTTCCATCTTGGCATATGTCATTAGCAGCCATAACAAACACACACCACCTCCCGGTCTGCCTGGCTTGGCTTTCATGTAGAGCTCATTATCATCCGATTTAAGCCGGAATATCTAATTGTACCCACTATTTTTGTTGAAATTACTCACCTGAGATGCCCACGCAAAGACCAACCCCGTTTCATGAATATGTATTTAGTAGATGAGATGCTGTTTGCCCACCAGTTCAGTAAATGTGTTGCTCAGTTTCATTATCATGGTGACCTGTATAAATAGATGATGTGCTACTAGCATTCAAACAACAAGTACAGAAGGGGCCTAGAGAAAAACTCTTGCCTTCTGTATCTTTTTTTCCATTTTCAGTATCTCTGTGTTTTTGCCCATCTGTGCAGTCACTGTGTGTTAGCATGCCAGGCAGCGCCACAGCCTTGTTGCATCGTGTATCTGAGCACGGCTAGCGATGGAGCACCAGCCTAGCCCGTTCTGACATGCACATGGCCTAGCTGTCACAACCACTAGGGTGTCTCCAGGGCAAGCGCCTATGCAATGTGACCTTACTTTGGGTTTTTGCTCATATTATCTTCTGCTTCTTTCTGTCACAAAATGGATTTCTTTTCTCACACCTCCTTCTTCATTGGTTCTGTGTCTCTAGGTTGTTGGACCACCAGGTACCGGAAAGACAGATGTTGCCGTTCAGATCATCTCCAACCTCTATCACAACTTTCCTGAGCAGAGGACCTTGATAGTCACACACTCTAACCAGGTTAACTCACCACACACTACGTCTACACCCCAAAGAAAAAACGTCTCCTCTTAAAGTTTCCCTAACACCCTGTTTAAAAAGCCGTTCAGCCGTCAGGAGAATATAGAGCTTGTACTCAGAGCTGCCCATTAATCAGCCAAAAGTCATATTCAAACCACAGAGGAAAAATTAAAATCTAATCTCCCTTGCGACCCGGACTTTCCTCAGTATTTAATCATAAAGTAATCTGCTGTTGTTTTACAGCAGTGGAAGCTTGCCAAAAAAACCTTGGCCACAAAAAGCAATAGCTGGATGTAATGATGAAAACCTAATGCAATAGTTACCCTTTCGATTGATATTATTGATACAGGAATAGACATCTTCATCATAGCATGAGAAATACCTCAAATATATTATAAACTTCTGTATGAAGAATTGGACCAGATGAATAAAGAAACCGAAAATCCATAAGGGTTGTTATGAACCATGTCTATGAAAAAAGCACTCACAAACACATATATTTTCTCTGTCTGAACATGTTTTTTTTTTGTTTCCATGGTTCATTCTTCATCAGGCTTTGAACCAGCTGTTCGAAAAGATCATGGCTCTAGACATTGACGAGCGCCATCTCCTGCGTCTTGGCCACGGAGAAGAGGAGCTGGAAACTGAGAAGGACTTCAGCAGGTGAGGACAGCCAGGGGCAGGTGGCGAGAGAACACACACACACACACACACACACACACACACACACACACAAAAATACATCAACACACACCGATAGATGCACCTAAACAAACAGACATGCCCATGTGGAAATTAAAACCAATTGAATGTATACCTGAACTATCTTACAGACTCAGGGCTCGACATCAAGGACTGTCCGATGGCCCGGGGCCATCTAGTATTTAGCTCGGGCCATGAAGCCTCACCTGCTGGTTGCCCGATCGGGCAATCTATTATACCAGTATCATGCAGCTCGCGGATCCAGTAATGAGCGACCCGACAGTAAAACTAAACATATCTATAACTAGTTTAGGTAGTTTGAGAGGTAATTAAAATAGCTACGTGTGATATTCTAACCTGAAGTGTGTGTTCTGTTCCGCTCACCGCTGCATGTGATCATGCAGCGTGTCGACTCGTCAGTAGCAGCTGATCTCTCTCTCCCGTCAGATTAGACTTCACTCGCGTTTATGTCCATATCGATCAGATGCAGCTAGTTTTAGCTAATGATATGACTACCTGCTTATTAAAAGACACCGTGACCTAAACAATAAGTGTCGCTATGCAACTGGGCGAGGCCACAAAGTACAGCGCAGCATTATGCATTTGTTTACATGCCCACCGGAACCCCGAGGCATTAGCAACAGATAAACGCACAATCAACCCATACAGCACATCTCTTTCTCCACATTAAGTGTTACACATTAGAATTGACTACTCTTGTCTGTCACATACTCTTCTTGTCTGTCACATAAGTGGCGCAACTGAAGCGGTATTGCGCTAAAGGGAAATTATTTTGACCGGACATTTTGACCGAAGAGATTTAGATTTGCTTGCTAACGGGAACTCTGACGTCGCCATTGTGTGTGCTTCGCGGATGCACTCGGCTGCTCGGGTCTGCTCGGTCAGCTTCTGGATGAGGAGGCATTCCTTCGACCAACTTACAGTGGATAACATTACAAACATTTTTAACAGGGGCCATAATAGCGTAAATAATGTTTGTTTTGGCAGTTATAACTGCATGTAATGTTTTCTACTTTTTTACATCTGGGAAGGCATTTGCCTTCATCAGATGGAAAGTNTTTGAGAGAATGTGTGTCTCTTTGTGTGTGAAAGAGAGAGAGTGTGTGTGTGTGTGTGTGTGTGTGTGTGTGTGTGTGTGTGTGTGTGTGTGTGTGTGTGTGTGTGTGTGTGTGTGTGTGTGTGTGTGTGTGTGTGTGTGTGTGTGTGTGTGTGTGTGTGTGTGTGTGTGTGTGTGTGTGTGGCCTTGAAGGATAGTGACTCAGTCCTTACTAGTGAGATAGGGTAAAGAGACGTTTGGGGGCAGTGCACTTTAAGCCCTCACGATATACTGGAGAAACATAGACTATCTCAGATATCCAAAACATTTACAGTTCTTCATGACTGCTGCTATATTTAAAAAAAACATTATCAGCCATGACCTTTTTTTTTTTTTTTTTTTTGCTAGCAAAGCTTTTTACCAGGCACCTAGATATAAATAGCTCAGTGTCATTGAATATTAATTAAGTTTTTGTGCTGGTACTATTTAAAGTTTCCTCATAACCTACATTGTTAATTACCACTTATCCATCTGTGGCACTGAGCAAATTGTACCCTATAGCTCTTAGCAACACTTCCAGTGGAGTAAGGGAGGGGTGATGCATGTCTCTCATTTAGCTATACCCTGTGTATGACTCCTGCTCACTATAACTGTATGAATAGCGGGTCATGGAGTGGGAACTGGTGTCTGCACATTGAAGCAGTCTGTTACATACTTAAATTATGCAGCAACACTGACATAAAAGAGCTTTTGCTAGCAGCATTTAATATGTTCCCCCTGCCTGGCTGCCTACTAACAACATGCAGACTCCACACTCCTTCCACCCCACTGACACCAGTGAGAGGAGGGAGCCCGAGAGTTTTAATTAACACTGTATATGAGATGAATGCCCCCCGAATGCCTAGCAAAGGCAAAGCTGCAGCACCATCCATTAACAATGCCTCCCCTGCATTTTATGATGAATTCTGAGCGGTTCTAATGAGAGTGCATGTTTGGTTCTTTATAGAAAAGAACTTCACAAATGTTCAGTTGTAGACAGCTTGAATCTTTATCCCATGGTAAAACAAAACACATTTGTGCACCTCTTTTTTTGGGTTTGGCATGTAAAGCTGCTTCACAGCTGTGTGTCTATTCTGGGTTTTCTGTCTAAGTAGCTGAATTCATTACAGGTTCGTCATCCTGTGAAGCAAGGTCACTCCAAATGTTATTTTATTGTATTCAGGCCAAAACGGCAGACCTCTGTGTCTTTCTTTGAGTCATCTGCTGACTGAGGATGTTTGCAAAGGATCTTAAAATAGAATGAACCTCTAGTATAACCCTGTGACCCCGCCCACTTCCTGTCTTCCTGTGTGCTGCATGTCTTGATACTGCTTTAAAACGGTATTAAGCTATACAAAAGAAGCATGAATGATGGAACCTAAACAAACCGTGTGCACTCAAGAACAATGATGCGCTCTTGAAATCTATGTTCTCTTTTAGGTCGTATTTACAGTATAGTTTACTGTTGGATGCTTTGCTTACGGCCTATTCCACAAACACAATAACCGTAACCAAAAATCAACAACACAAGAAGAGAAGGAATGTTTCCAAATAATTTCAAAGTCTAACCCCACCTTTGAAAAAAAAAAAAACATGATTTGATTATGCGTACACTTCTATAAAGAGACGGTTTAAACTCAAACATTAATCTTACTACATTGTATCATTCTTCACATAGGTCTATCTGTCCCTCTATGAAAAGGTAAAGGTGTTTTAGATTCTTGACTAACAATGCTGCGTTGACTGTCTCCAGATATGGTCGAGTAAACTACGTCCTAGCCAGACGCCTGGAGCTCCTCAGGGAGGTGGGGCGGTTACAGGAGAGCTTGGACGTCCCAGGAGATGTTTCTTACACCTGTGAAACAGCTGGACACTTCTACCTCTACCAAGTAAGAATATAACGTGGTGTGTGTTTATGTTTCTGTAACAAGCTGAGACATAAACTGTAATAATGCTATACTTCCTTTTCACCCACTTGGCAATGTTTCATATCATGTAAAATATTCCATCGGGCTCAAATAAAATCGGTAATTGAGGTTTAGCAGAACAAACCTTACAAATTGGATATTAATATTGATTTTTAAAAGAAAGTTCAGGGGATCCAGGAGATTTTGCTGAATGAATTACAATGGATGTGTCCCTCTCTGTCCATGCCAATCAGAACGAGACATTTTTAAAATATTCATTCCCCAGACTTGCTGCTTATTTTGCCTAGGCTACAATTATCCTGAAACGGTCTCAGCCCTCGCTGCTTAATCCTGTCACCTAATTATCACTGTCCTCTCAGGCTGCAGGAGAAATGCCACGGCAGACAATTACTAAGGTGCACCCCCGTTCGTCTTTAGAAGGGATCTAAAAAAAGACATTATAGACAGTTTCAACATGGAGCAGTGCAGCGCCTGCCTAGCTCTCATTTTCAGGTGTTACCAGGCTCAAGTTAAAATCCAACCTTATATTTTTTGTAGACTTACTTGCTTCACGGCAGTCATATTAGACCTATACTGTAAAAGCAGTGTAAAGCTCCCAGTCACATAGTTTGGAGTGGTGGTAATAACTCGTTCTACCCAAGCTCCAGTATCAGGGTTCATTTCTGATCATGTTCATGCTGCCATTTTTGCACTTTGCCAGGAATCTGTCAGTTGCCTCTCTCTCTCACACACACACACACACACACACACACACACACACACACACACACACACACACACACACACACACACACACACACACACACCACTGTGGGTCCTCATTAATTTGATATCGCATAGAGACTGGACTCTCAAGTTTCTATGTTTATCTTAGCTCTGACGACCGGCCAACAATCTAGTTCTTTGACATTTGAAGATGTAAATGTCAAGAAGTCGTTGGAGTAGCAAATCTGTGATAATGAGCAGACTTCTCTGTCAGTAATCAATGATCAGAATGCACACGTGTAGACATACTCAGGTTGCGATGGTGATCCTAATAGTCCATATAGACGTATACTTAACATGTAATTAAGCTGGTCCTCTAGCAGACTCATTAGTGTTATCCATAATGTTGTTTTTCATAGTGGTATTTATAGAACTAGGCTACCCCGCTGTTTGGTTGAAACTGGGTTATTAGTTGCTCAGCAGGGGCTCCTCTGTACAAGTGAGGCTATCTGTTCTCATTTGTGTATTCTTTTTGCTATGGTCAAATAATTAAAGGGAAAATACAGACTGAGCAGAGCCATGCAGAAAACGCACTGTGTGCACAGACAACATTAAGGCAGACAATAATCGACTCAGACTCATGCATACAACAAGTTTGGTTCTATTGGAAAGCCATGTTTGTCTTAGTGTCAACATATAAAACATATTTAGAAACCAAACCAAAAAAGGTGTGTTGGCATTTCTAGCAATCAGTATTCACAAACTATAACACTGGGCTTTGTCTCTCAACATTCAGAGGGTAATGTATGTGTGCTTTGTCTACCCATAACAGGTGATATCTCGCTGGGAAGAGTACATGAGCAAAGTCAGGCCAAAGCAGAGCAAGGAGGTGGAGGTGCAAGCTGTGGCGGCACACTTTCCCTTCCACAAGTACTTCTCCAACGCCCCTCAGCCTGTGTTCAAGGGACGCTCATACGAAGAGGACATGGACATCTCAGAGGGCTGCTACCGCCACATCAAGAAAATATTCACCCAGCTGGAGGTAAGAACACGGTAAACTAGTCCGCTCGCTGCTGAGCAACACCCAGTGGGATGGAAGCAGGTTCATTCAGTGTAATACGGCAATTTGATTTATAGAGCGCATGTACCGTTTAATTCAATGCACTACAGCAACAAATAACATGCACAGAAGCACACATTAACTAAAGGTTAACGTATATTTTACGCACACACACACACACACACACACACACACACACACACACAGGCTACGCTGGCTGATGATACTCTGACTATTTGCCATCTGTGTGTCCAGGTGTTGCACAATCTCCCATCTACAAATAAAAGGCCTTCCTGTCCACCCGATGACATGTTGCTGAAGTTTAGAAGTGGTTAGCCATCACATGTCCCTTTGCTTCGTTTAAAGTTTGAATCATTATATAAGATACCAAGCATTACTTGTACTGTTTAATTGTCGATATGATTGATGACCCCTTTTTAAAAAGATAAGCGTAACAACAAAGCGAGCAAGGCAATTACTGCTTATCTTTTTTTACTCTCCCTGTCACTCTTTTTCGCACTCGTTGGTACTTACAAACACACGGCTGAACGTGTTATTCTCCCTTCTCAGCCCATCCGGTGTTTTCTATAGGGATAACAATAACATTTCAGATTTATGGGAACACCAAGAAGGTTTCTGAAAAGCAATAAAGAAGTTATTGGCTGGAGGTAATATCCCAACACGTGTGGCGACCTTGATTTATCTGGCTGGCCTCTGTATCACTGCATCACAGCACTTCTCCCTCCTCCCGCTGCCTCACCCTTGCTGCAGTGAAATCTGTACACCCATTAAGAGGAACTGCTGTCTGTGGCGCACGGTAGACAAGGCAACATTCTGCTGAATATGCTTGTCTTGTCTGACTTTTCAAATGTAACAGCAGTTTTGAATAAGCTGTCATACGAATATCCAAAGAATGTATTTCTAGCCAGCAAAGCATTGTGCCTGCTGGGTTCCTCCTGTATACACGTCTCAAGTTTCCTGCAGACCCACCACATCTTTACCGCTACTTACTCTTTTTCCCTCTCTGCCCCCACTTCTCAGTTTCAGTAAAACCTTCCCATCTTGATTTCACCCTTCAACCGCTCTGGAGCCATGGGGGTTAAAAATAGATCTCATCAATATTGCATGTTTTGATCGGTTTAATATTAATGCTAAAATAGTAACACATCAAATATTTATACCCCAGTGCTGTCCGAGTCGACTTCTTCCTTTCCTCTCTGCCTTCCATACCACTACACAACTAGTGTGGCAAATGGAAAATAGCACGCATTTTATTTATTTTTACCCATATTCCCCTTCTTCCCTCACAGCGTGGCTTTCAAAGTGCCGTGATATTGGACCTCTGAAGAGAAGGGATTTGTTGTTTTTCAAACTGGCCCTACATTTTTCCTTCCAGTATAAGCTATGTAAGACAATCTGTGCTAAAGTGCTCCTCACGTTGCAGTTATTGAGCAGCTAACTACACCCGGTATACTCTCCTCAGAGCAGCCCTGTGGCTTGCTGACCTCTGTTCACCTGCACCTGGGGAAAAGAGACTGTTTCTAATGAGAAAAGAAAGCAGGGGGATTTTGTTAACTGTATATTTGATTAAAAGACAAGTAACTTGCCGATCATTTCATCATCTTTTATGATTCTCTTGTATATGGGAATAAAGGGTATCAAAAGTAAAGGCGATTTGAGCTATTATAGGTGCTAAGGTTAAGTCACTTGAATTTAAAACACTTACATTTTTTAAATGTAGGTAGACGCAACAATGTGTCGGTGTTGTATCGGATTATTGAACTCTGTTTTAGAGGTGGGATTATTTCACCCGAGATAATCCCCTTATCCATCATCTTTGACAGTATTCATCCATCAATTTGTCAGAAGGCCATTTAAGTTTCCCCTCACAACCCCACTATAAAAACATGAAAGCAAAACTTCACCATCATTCACAGATGGATGAACACACATTTAATACAAGTTATTCCTAGAGGTCAGAAAAGTTGCTGCTTTTCTTTCTTTATTTCGTTATTCCCAAACGTTTCTGTATGCGATAATTGACTCTTCACCTCCTCTCTTGTCTATCCTGTAGGAGTTCAGGGCCTTTGAGCTTCTAAGAAGTGGACTGGACCGCTCCAAGTATCTGCTCGTGAAGGAAGCCAAAATCATTGCGATGACCTGTACCCATGCTGCACTCAAACGTCATGACCTGGTGGAGCTGGGATTTAAGGTATGCTCTTGTCAACTAACAACTAGAATACAACCTGGTTAGGATTGCATTTACTGCAGTGACAGTACGTGGGGTTGGTTTAAGTCTTGGTTAAACCTGCTGATTCTCTTTTTTTAGTATGACAATATCCTGATGGAAGAAGCTGCTCAGATTCTGGAGATCGAAACCTTCATCCCCCTCCTGTTACAGGTGAATGTCCTGATGCTGTCTTAAAACTTCAATGTATGATGTAAAAGCTGTTAATCCTGTCTTTTAGAAAAACTGCAGTCCCACTTCCAGGCATAAGCACTTTCAAAAGTTCTGACATCTAGCCTAGTTTAATCCTTAACTCAGGACTGCTTTCTACCACCTGACTTTCCCTGTTAAGGTCTGACTGATTGCCTACGAGCACAGTAATGGTTGCTTGTCTTTGGTAGTTGTGCCTAATTGTCCGAGATAGTGCTAATGTCTGTTTACAGATGAGATCATTAAGCACATCAGCCAATCCAACAACCTCGCCAGAGCTCCTCACTTTATCTCTTTGCTCTAGTGAGTCACAGCCCGAGCCTTCTGCCAGATATGCGTCACGGCAAAACTGTTTATTCCTCGTTCTCCCTTCCACTTTCATTATCCAGCCATTCAACCCTTATCAGGGATTTCAGCGATTGAATCAAGTCTTGACATGCAGTGGTTGATATATCATATTTGTCTGAGGTCAAGCTTCAAATAAACAACGTCTAATTGGCAAAATCTGGAAGCATGACGTAGACGGGAGTAAAAAACCTGTACAGGCCCTTCATGCTTCACTGAGTCAAATCTTGTTGTCGGATAGCAGGTGCACTTTCAAGTCATTACAAACCAGAATTTAAAGAATCTCTGGCCAAAAAAGATACTGACTGGTCTCATTCATCATTCATTTTCTGTCTTCCCCTCTCCAGAACCCAGAGGATGGCTACAGCAGGCTGAAGCGCTGGATCATGATTGGAGACCACCATCAGCTGCCCCCTGTTATCAAGAACATGGCCTTCCAGAAGTACTCCAACATGGAGCAGTCTCTCTTCACCCGGTTTGTGCGCCTGGGAGTGCCCACCATAGATCTGGATGCACAGGGCCGAGCTCGAGCAAGGTGGGTCTCCATGGCGGGGCATAAAGCTGGAGGAAGTTTGACCAACTAGATCTCATAGGGGGTCATGGCAGAAAGGAAGTAACAACAGCATGACTTAATGTGTTCCTATGTGTCCTACAGCCTATGTAACCTGTACAACTGGCGCTACAAACAGCTGGGGAACCTGCCTCATGTCCAGCAGCTGCCTGAGTTCCAGGTGCCAAACCCCGGCATCACCTTCAACTTCCAGCTTGTTAACGTGGAGGACTTCAATGGGGTGGGAGAATCCGAGCCCAACCCTTACTTCTACCAGGTCAGTAGTAGTACACAAATAAAACACCCCCCACAACTGTGACGGTGAATGCCATCTCTACTCGACTAGACTTGCAACACGTTCACTACTATTTATTGTGTATGGGAAGCAACTGATGTGCTGCACAAAGCATGCTGGGATACCTACAGTGCAAAGCAAGCTGGGGTGGCGACAAGAAGGCGTGTCAATTTGAGCTGCGTGTACAACCAAGAGAAAGTGGGACTAATGATAATCCTTCCTTGTAAAACTAAATGTTTTCCCAAAAACAATATCTAAAAAAGCTATACTTTGATACGAGTATGCATGTTTCATTTTCAAATAACTTGCTGCTCCAGTATTTAGTATATTGGTTGCACAGGTATGTACACTATGTTAAAACAGCGGAAATAGTTGTTTGGCAGTTTCCAAGCACGATTTTATACACTCCTTTACAAGGTTCTACACTCAAGCACACTTAGTTCCACCAGAGCAGAGAACCACATCCTGCCCTCACTTCCATTTCCTCTGAACCGCTTGTTGTACAGCAGTTCATTCATTTTGAAACTTTAATGGTTTAGCTGCCGGTTCATATTATGTCTTCATAACCCTGCTTAGTCTGCAGCTAGCCCTGCCTGCCCAGCATAGAGCAGTGGGTTTGTCTTTCAAACCAGGAACCGGATTGCGTTTCATTATGACATTGCTGTGTGGGCAGAAGGCAGGCTTGATAGGGGTTTGTAAAAAACAAAAACAAAAAGAGTTTACTGGCACAGGAGATCAAATGTAACAGCAAAGGTATCTCGTGAAAGTGCTGAGGTATAACACAAAACGAGTTTATTTATTTCACGTTACTGGACTATTAAGAGTTCTGAAATCTTCCTTTTGGATACAGGAATGAAACTAAGAGCAGCATATTTGTTAGAGAAACGAGATAAGTGGGGCACTGATTTGTTTAAAGCTTCATGGCCAATGAGGATCTCTCAGTGCTGCTTCATGAATATTACTGCAGTGTTCAACACGGTGCCTGCTCATGTTTCTGAAGCTTCCTATTGTTCTTAAATCCAGACCATGCGCACTTCTCGAGGCATCAGGTCACATGAACCTCAACTCCATTTGCCTGTTGCCATTTTAAGGCCCCTTAAGGGAATTAGCAGTATCACTCACTATGCCTTATACACACACACACACACACACACACACACACACACACACACACACACACACACACCCCAAAACACGCATGCATGCACTTTCCTAGGAACCAGGAGGGATAAATTGGACTCTAGAGAAGCAATTGTATCCAGTGTATGCTGAATGCCTGCAACAGCTGGACAAACACTGCCACGAGCCTGCTTTGCACTTCCACAGGAACTGCACTTCCATCACACACACATGTGCGTGCACTCAGACAGTCCAAAGGTCTGTTCCTGTTCCTTCGCCTCATTTGTCAGAGCACTCTCCATATTGAGCCTCAGCCCGTTAATAGTGCTTCCCAAGTCGTCAAATGGCTCATAAAGGGTAAGATGCTTATCTAAATCCAAATCTTCTGTTGTCAGAAAATGGCTTTTCTCAGCCACTAGGCGGTTAGTCTTTTCTGCTTCACACGCTATATTTTAGATTACATAAGAGCAAAGAGCACTGTTAGCTCACAGGTAGATTTATCGTCTTACTACCTAATGTGTTTGTACTGACACCACACTTTGCGATCCTCTCGTCCCTTATGTTTCTGTCCCTGTTTGATCCCCCCCCATCCTTTCCAGTCCTCATGTATCCTCAGGCCATTGGCTTAAACTCCACTGGGTTTGGTTGGCATGACCTTGTTGTTATGGTTAACGAGTTCTCTGGAGTGTTAGGGCATTAGATCACATTTATGTTAAATATGCACATATGGTAGACAAAGCTGAAAATGCCCACCACGTGCCTACATACTACTCCTCTCCTGTGTCTCTGAGACTATGTTTAATGGATTAAGATGCTGTACTCAAATTGGCATTCGAGCAACAATCTTGACCCTAAATACCGAATTAAATGTTTTTTTAACTTTCTTGTTATGTTATACTCGAATAATTAAAAATTAAGGTATGGCCAGAATGAATACATTATAAGTAAAATTATGGTTTGGTCATTAAAGTTTCAAGTGTGTGCCATTTGGAGACAGGTAATATGGGAAGAAGAACAAAGGCTGTCACTGTTTTTGATGTTTTGACTCCAGTGCAGCTGGATCAGGAACTGTTTATGGAGCTGCATGAATTATTATGAAAGATGTGAGGCTGCAGACCAGGTCTAATTGAGACTGGATGAATAATGCATACTGTTGGCTGTTTTCTTTTCCTTTTTTGGTCACATTTGAAGGGCAGAGTGTAGCCTTGAAGCCAGGATGAACATGCCTAGGAATTAGTTGATTATAAGAGGGCTGAATGATGCATGCAACACTGGCCTTTACATTAAGTCACATTAGAGGACAAGGTCTTGTGTCCTGGGGCCTGGACATTTGGTGTCATGTTAAGAACAATGTGTTTTTATTTTATTTTCATGTGTTTGAATATATATATATATATATATATATGCTCCTGTTAGAATTTCTTTGTATGGAATCTGAAAGCAACTAGCCCCAGTTTTTGGAAATCTTTTCTTTCCTAGTTAAAATGTAGCTGATTTTACATTGGTATTATTTTACGATAACACCCTGCCATTGATTGACGAATTAAACTTTTGATCATGCAGCCTCTTGTTGCACTTCTAAAAAATAGCAATCAGCTGTTCCTCTTTTTTATGAATATCAAAGCCACAGTAGAAATATGCCATTTGACGTCCACGCTGTGTAGGGGATCCTTAAATTGGGACATTTTGTCCCAGCCTGGTTTATGGTGGTGTGGAGCACCGTCTGATGCAATTAATTCCAGCCCAAATCAGATAGTTACTCTTGCATGCATGAATGAGTGGGCTTTAATCCGCCGAAAAGTGAAAACCGTGATAGACGAGCAAAGGGTTAGAGCATGATGTGAAAGTGGAAGGAAATGAGAACAACAAGGTATCCAACACAGCACACAGCCCCGGCTGTGCTGATAGGGAAGACAGACTAATGCATTTAGATAATTCCTATTACTTGAATCAATACAAAATGACCACATTGATAGACAATAGCTTATCAAGGCCAGTTTCCCAAACAAAAATATTTTCCTTCTCTCATTTCTTGTGTTAAATACTGTATGGGTTAACTATGATAATGTTAATCATACCCTCTCCTTTTTCTCTATCCTCCTGTGTAGAACCTTGCGGAGGCGGAGTACAGCGTGGCTTTGTTCATGTACATGCGTCTGCTGGGCTACCCTGCTGACCGCATCAGCATCCTCACCACCTACAACGGGCAGAAACACCTGATCAGAGACGTCATCAACCAGCGCTGCGCCGGCAACCCCTTCTTCAGTCAGCCTAACAAGGTAAAGAGCAACACACAGTGCACCCAGCGGCTGTATAATTATTATTATTATTATAAAGCAGATATTAGTAGAAACATGTCCTTATGAAATGTTAATTAAATTGATACGGGTTTGAGAGGGGAAATTTGCGAATCCAACATCTTGTTGTATAACAGATTTCTTATGCTAATTTATTAAACAACATTCAATAATGGGCTGAAACCTAAAGCAAGATGGTCTGTTGTTAATGTAATATAAAACAAATGTCCCATTATTATTTTCTTTGTAGCAATATTATCACACTTTAGAAGCAGAATCAAGCCCTGTTTTGTTTAATCTCCTTACTGTACTTTCTTGACTGTTCTCTTATAAAGACACAGGCTTTAATACAATTCAACATGTATACCTCGACCTCTGATTCACCAAGCACATCTCACTTTTTCAGTTATTCAAAAAGTGGAAATTCTGTCTAAATCAATCAAGCTACTTGGGAAATATTGACATTTACACATTTCATGTAGCCTTCTAACAGTGAAACACATGCGATAATACCACACACATGAACTGTACACACTCCTGATATCACTTGAGGCTGACACATTTTTCCCTCTTGTCAAGAAGAAATCCACAGTCCCAAAAGACACGTATTCACCTCATGTATACCGTAATTTTCGGACTATAAGCCGCGCCTTTTTTCCCATTTTTCGACGCTGCGGCTTATATAACGGTGCGGCTAATCTATGGATTTTTACAGCTAACGGCCACTAGGGGACCTCCTAAATCTATGGATTTTACAGGTTACAGTCCACCACCTTTAACTCTATGGGCTCTATGGCCGGTCCATGCCCCCCACCTTTAAGCGGCGGGCTCCAGCAGGAAAAGCTGGAGGCCGGAAAAGAGTGAGACAGGTAGCGCGCAAAAGTAAAAGTGGAACCGAGAGTGGTACGAGAGACAGAACGAGAGCAAGACAGACAGACATTACGAGAGCGAGACAGTTTGTCCCCGTACCACTGGTTGAAAACCACTGCTGTAGATCACTGCCGGTACGTGCGCTGGGAGCGCACCGTTTAAGTTTGAAAGTTGAAAAGTTTGTGTGTCTGAAACGCTATGTGATACAGTAAAGTTTACACAGCACAGTACATGTTCTGTAGCTACTATTGCACTAAATGGTAACACTTGAATACGTTATGCAAATATGCAACTTGTTTGTTGAAATGTTAATAAATGGGAGCTTCCTCAAACAGCCATCTCTTTCCCGACAATCCCCTCTGTGCACGAACCCTTACATATGGTAATTAAACATTAAAACACCTAGCGGCTTATAGTCCAGTGCGGCTTATATATGTACACATCATTCAATTTAGCTGCTGCGGCTTATATTCAGGTGCGCTTATAGTCCGAAAATTACGGTACTACAGTATGTGATTGCATGATATGTTGGGTTCCAGTGTCTTTAACATGTGACAAAAGCCTTCGTTC